AACTGATGCTTAGATATGGTGCACTGAGACAGGTGCAGCACCTACACCACCACACAGCCTTAGCTCAGGCTGGAGAACTGCAGAGCTGTGAGGTCCTCCTTTCTGTCATTTCCATCTCATGACCCTGGCTCTTTCCAACCCTGATGTGAAGTGAGGATTCCTGGTAAGAGACTTCAAACTCTGACTAAAACTCCGGGCAGCTCTATCCATTAGACCTTTTCTTTTTTTGTTTTCCAGGGAGTGTTTTTTTTCCCCCCAGGAATGTCCATAACAACACCGAGGGAGATGCTGTTAAGAAGTCATCAGACCACGAGGAGTCTGGTAAACGAAACAGTGCAGCTCATGCATGTGATTTTACCATCGGGGTTGTTTTCAAACAGAAACACTTGTCCTGGGGCTCTCCAGGACATATTCCAGCCGTACTGATCACATGTGATCTAGAACTATGACCTCTGTGAACATAACTAAGAGAATTACATTGGAGAGAGTAACGTTTGCGTAATTGAGAGAGGGGAAGCCGACTGTGTAATGACACGGCCAAATTTTGCCTCTTCACGTTCAGCATTCAAATCCCTGGAATATAACACACTGAAGCAGCTCCCAGCTCCCAGCAGGATGCTGGTGCTGGAGAGGCAATCAGCCTTTCTCTTGTCCATGTATCATTGGCTCCAATATAATGAACTGCCACAGGGAACCGGGGTGGGGAAGAGCGTTAAATTGGCAGAAAAGCAGGTCAGGCGAAAAGGCCTCTTCCAGTGCTCTGTTTCTGTCCTTCGGAACTGCAGAGCAACAGTTACTAAATAAATCCTCATTTTGTTTTGGGTCTGAACTCGTCATGCAAAGAATGTGATTTCGCAGTACAGAATCGACAATAAATTCAGTCAGTAGGCTGAACATAAAGACATCACTAATTTGGTATCTTGGTTATTTTTGGTTCGCCACTTGAGCTTTCCACTCAGTAATGAATAAATCAGTGCAGATGTGACATCTGTAAGACTGCACAGGCCACAGAGGCACAAAGCTGACCCTCAGTTGTCACAGGGCAGAACTTCTGTGCTCACTGCCTGAAAGCACGTTGTGGCCATGTCTTTAGAGGGCACAGAAAGGCGGGAGAATAAGTTTAAAGTTGTTATAAATTGCAGCCTCTCCTCGACATGCACATTTTGTGGCCTCAGAACCAGCATGTTAACATCATATATGAAATGACCTGGTGACACAACAGCACCCTCGGGTATAGTACGTGCACAAACCAAAAAAAACCATCTAAATCCAAACACTTCTGGTACTATTTGGTGAAACAAAGAAACGCAGACACCATTTTTTTTCCAGCAAGGCAATAGATTTCCTTCCTAGCTTTTGTACTTTTTACTTGATGAGAACTTACAACAAATCACCTCTAACGTCTGGATACAATTGCTGAAAAGAAAAATAATCTACTCAACGTACACCGCATTTCTCCAGCATCTTAGCAATGCACAAACACAAATGGTCTTGCTGCAACTCTGTCCATCTCTGTGTAATCTCCAACCCCAGAAGATTGTTTTCTGAGGCCAAACTGCCTGACTGACACTGAGGAATTAAAACACCAAGCTCACTTTTAAAATATACCATAGCACTAATAGCTCTTTGGTGCTCTCCCTGATTTACTTATATAAAATTCTAGAGAACTGAGGCTGCAGCCCTGCTTTTTATTGAGAAACTTGATCCTTCAAGCCACATTTACAGGAAAAAAGGACAATAAACAGAATTATTGTACTAATGCAAAATTTCGCAGTATCATTCCGTTTATTCTTCCTGAAAATAAACTTTGCTGAACATGAACAAAAACATAAGCTTCCCTTTATTTCATAACAAGCACCAGACACTTCAGTTTTCTTTGGTTTTCCTTGCTTAGACTTATTGTCTGGACAGAATTATTGAAAATGCTTCCCATATCATCCATCTCTCCGTTTGCTTCGTCCTGAATTTCTTCACATACTATTTGTCTAAAATAATGAGCTGGGATGAACACACTTGTAACTAGGAAACCAAAGCCACTTTTTAATATTCTTACACACTTTCACTGTAATCAGAATACTCGGGATTTTAATTTTAGAAGGCACAGACACCAAACTCCAGCTGAAGTTACGCAGAGCTGTGAAAACTGCTAACATGGAATTTAACCCTGTCTGCTGCACTGGGACAGATTTTCTATTTCAGTTGCTCCTGCAGCTCTTTATCAACGTTGCTTTTTAGAAGTATCCACGAATTTGAAACCCTTTACTATTTGCAAATGAAGATATATTATTTTTTTTAAATAAGAAACATAGTAACCATGACCATCTGAACCACTTAGAGAACATAAGCCTTAATACCTGTAGTATTTTTCTCTGAGTCACTGCCTGACCTGTGGAACAATCACCTTTTTAAGTAGGTATGTGTTTACTAATACTTAACAGTTTGCTGAATTAATATTACCATGCAGCTTGTCTCTGTCTTGCAGCATTTATGTGAAACTGTTTGAGCTGTTGCACGTGGACTCCAAGTGGAAAATATTAACTAGATTGTGCTATTTGCAGAAGAATGAGGGTGACAGCTAAAAAAGCACAAGACTTGGCACTCAGAAACTGCAATACCAGGAATGAAGACAGTTTTACATTTGACAGTTTTACAGTTATTTCCCTGGTAAGAAATGTAAATCTTCAGGAAGAGTCTTGTCTGTCTACCTTGCACCACATCAGTAATGAAAACACTGTTACTTTTGTAATATTCTCAATGCTTATCTCACTGCCTGGTTGTCTCTCTGAATACTGAGAAGTGCCCATACTTTTGTGACAAGTGAGACTTTTAAACTAGAAAAAGTAAAATTCCTTTTTACCTGCTAGAATTTGTTATGGGAGGTGTCATGTGCATATATGAGAAATAGAAAAAAAAACCCAAACAAACATAAAAATCCAGGCACCCCTTTCCATGCACAGCTGCCAGCAGTGAGGAGCTGGTAGAAAATTCTGTGTTTGTATTTTGGCACGTTGTTAAGTTTTGGCAGAATATTTGGAATCACTAAAGCTTAGAGCTCTGGAGTTCCCAGAAACATTTGTTGCACTCAACAGTGGCTGAAAGGAATGGGTTCATTCAAGTGTCCTCTATGATCCCAGCGCTCCACATCCCAGAAGTTCTGGAATAGAAGCTGGTATCTGAAGGAACAGGATCACAGCCACAATGTGCTCCTCAGCGTCAGCATTTGCTCCACTGATAAGATTTTCAGGGCCAGCTGAGCAAGGAGGCAGTTTCTGAGGGATTAATTATCTCCCTCTGCAACATGTCCTTGGCAATAATAGTTCCAGCGGTTCTGGGTAGGAAACAAGGAAGGCATAACCCTCTCCCTAGGGTGGTATGTTCCTGCTTTTACAGCAGCTAGAGGAGAACTTTGGAGTTGGAAAAGCCACACTGCCTAGGAGGAAGGATCCTGCAGCAGGAAATTGTCTTAAAGCTACCAAAGTACAGAACAGACCTCTCCATATGGACATAAAACTTGAATAAAACATACCAAGATCATAATTTTAACATCTCTGTCAATGTTCCCCCACTGCAATGAAGCAACTTCAGAGGTGTGTTCTTCTTTCTTTAGTGTCTCCCCTTCCCCAAAACCAAGCTCTTCTTTGCAAAACTCTTTCTCAGCTGCTAATATAGGACTGCCTAAGGGCATTTGAGATACTTCTAAGGCTCTCTAAAAGAAAATAACCTGATGTCATTAGATTTAAATTAATCACACAAGGTCCAAGCCTTCACCGAAAAAAAATGTAGGGTCTCTACATCAAAAAAGGGCTGAAACTGCAGATTTAAAAAACGACAGACTAGCTCCAAGATATGATTTTATTCCAGCTATTTTCGTATTGAAAGTGAAACAAATGTTACCATTAAAAAAGCTGAACTATTCAGAGTACAAAACTTTGCCCTTTGGGGCAATATTTACACTACAGAAGATAATAATTCTCATACTTACATGTGTAACCAATGCAAGTGTTTTAGTTTTTACATGCAAATTTCTCACAAAGTCCATGTATAATCACCCTTTTTTTTTTTAATAGTTTGCTTTGCATTCTGCTCTTTGCAGGGACTCAGTTTTTAACAAAATTCCAGTGATTAAGCTTGTTGGCAAGTATGATCAAAAGTTAATCTGAGTAGTTACTGGATACTCGGAATGGAAAACAAACCTTACACTGAACAAACATGCATCTGGTAATAACAGCTGCAACCACACACATATGGATGAAAAATGCATCAAACTAAGCCCTCCATCAAAGCACCTAAAATTAGAAATGTTGGAAAAAGTGTTCATAAACAAGCTATTCTTGAAGAACAATAATGTATTCAAATAACACCTTTGACAAATCTAACCTACTTAGAGAAAACTTAAACCCCAAATATTTCTACAGAACTGGATTCTTTGCCCAGATTTCATTAGAATCAAGAAAAATATGATCTACGGGGAAATAGGGCATCCATAAACTTTCCACTAGACCATTTTACTCAAGGCCTTATCCAATCTGGCCTTGAATACTTCCAGTGTTGGGGCATCCACAACCTCCCTGGGCAACCTGTTCCAGTATCTCATCACCCTCACAGCACAGAATTTCTTCCTAATATCTAGCCTAAATTTTCCCTCTTTCAGTTTGTACCCATTCCCCCTTGTCCTGCCACTACAGTTCGTGATGAAGAGTCCCTCTCTGGCTTCCCTGCAGCCCCTTCAGAAACTGGAAGGTTGCTCTGAGATCTCCACACAACCTTGTCTTCTCCAGGCTGAACAGTCCCAGCTTTCTCAGCCTGTGTTCATAGGGGAGGTGCTCCAGTCCTCTTATCAACCTTATCAGCCTCCTCTGGACTCACTCCAATAGAATTATATAAGCCACTACATGGACTCTGTTCTAGTGGCTGCACTTTCACTAGGGAACCTGACAAATTAAAAATACTGATAAATACCTGCACAGCAAGACAAACTACACACGTGTGTGTGTACACACCTTAAAGAACACAATTTGTTTTGGTGGGGTAATTCCAGCACGGAGATCCTCCCTCTGTGCCACAGGCCCTTTTGGAGAAGCGTGGATGAGAAATTATGCAAGATCAGTTTGTTTCTGCTTGGCTGAGAAATAACTGAGTACACATAAAAAAAAAAAAAAAGAAAAAAAGTTAACAGATTTCCAAGCTCAGGTTGGTTTCCCAAATCCTCCCCTGGCAGCACAGCCAGTGTCACTGCACAAACTGGTTTATGGGAACAGATGCAACTGCTTTCCCAGTTGTTTGTTCCCATCACCACAGCAGGTCCTTGTGCCAGAGCAGTTGTCTACACACTCGTTGTCTGGCAAACCAGAGCAGGGAATTTTTCCAGATGACACCAAGCAGCCTGCTCGGTTTTCCTCTGGCTCATTGCACAGCCACACTCACGTCAGGGCACAAGACCATGGGTGAAAAAACCCACTCCTTTCACAGGAAGCATCCCAAGTTTCCAAAACCACCAAAACAGACTGCAATGACCAAAAAAAAAAAAAAAAAAAAAAAAATTAGCTAAAGAGGGGAAAGAGGAGCTGGACCCAGTCAGGTATATCACCATTTTTCTTACTTGGGGTTTAGCCCATTTGCAAAAAATCGTTGCCAAAAAAGGTTTAAACACACCATTAAACACATTGCAGGGATTCTAGTAGCTGCTCTGGAGTATTTGTGACTTAGGTGGGATATCTAAAAGCACATTGAAAACACCACAGTGGGATTAGATGTTAATCTCTAGAGCTGTCCTTAATGAAAAGATAACGTGCCAGATTAGCTTTCAACAAAAACAAGAGAAATCTTGTAATTCTAATTTCTATTTTAATAGTAGTATTTTGACACACAAAACCCTATTCAGGTATTTAATTCAAAGCGGATAATTATAATGACAAGCCAGCCTAAAGCAATGATAATGGCCATTATAATTTTTCAAATGGCATCAAGATGAGTGAGTACAGCAGTTACAGAGGGTCCGAGCCAAAACCCACCAGGATCCGGGCAGGTGCCTCCCAGATGATAATGGAGGGGGGTGGGTTGGCTTATGAGGGGGACAGTGGGTGTCTTGTGAGGGGACGGGGGGCTGTTTGTCAGGGGAATGTTGGGGACAGGGGGCTGGCTTGTGAGGGATGGTGGGTGACTTGTGAGGGGGACAGTGGCTGGTTTGCAAGGGGGACAGTGGGTGGCTTGCGACAGCGATGAAGGATGGCTTGTGAGGGGGGCGGGGGTCTGGTTTTTGAGGGGGTTGCTGGGTGGCCTGAGGCAGTTGGTGGGTGACTTGTGAGTGGGACGGTGGGAGCCTTGCGAGGGGGACAGTGGGAGATTGCAAGGGGGACAGGGGGGCTTGTGAGCAGCTCAATGGGCGGCTTGTGAGGGGGACAGGGGGGGTGTGAGAGGGATGGTGAGTGGCTTGTGAGGTGGACAGTGGCTGGTTTGCAAGGAGGACAGTGGGTGACAGGGATGATGGGTGGTTTGTGAGTGGGATGGTGGGTGGCTTGTGAGGAGTTCAATGGGTGGCTTGTAAAGGATGGTAGGCTGGTTTGCGAGGGGGATGGTGGGTGGCTTGGGAGGGGAACAGTCATTTACTTGTGAAGGGGACATTGAGTGACTTGCAAGGGGGTCGGGGGCGGCTTGTGAGGGGTTCAATGGGCAGCTTGTGAGGGGGACAGTAGGTGAGTTGTGAGGGGGACAGGGGGGCAACTTGTGAGAGGGACAGTGGGTGGCTTACGAAGGATTCGATGGGTGGCTTGTGAAAGGTTTGATCGGCGTCTTGTGAGGGGTACAGGGACTGGCTTGTGAGGGGGTCTGTGAGCGGCTTGAGGAGGTCGGTGGGTGACTTTGAAGGGGAACGGGGCGGGAGGGGGTGGTTTATGAGGATGCCACATGTGCCACATGTGGGGCTTCTTTCCAAACCACGCTGGATCTTCTCCTTACACTTTAAAAAAAATCCCGTAAGATCAAAGTTAATACTAAAAACTCACCAGAAAAAAAAACCAAACAAAAAACACCAAAACAAACCCCAAAAACCCCAACCACCAGACGATTAAAGTAGGTGAATTTCAAACTGACACTGCCCGCTGGTTCCCCCCCACGCGGTGCCCAGGGCCAGGAAGGGGTGCGGGTTTTACCACAGCGGCACCTCCCGAATCCCAGTGCCACTGTCACCGTCGGGGGACACACGGCAGGGACCTGCCCTTTGTCCGGATCGCACCCCCCCTTTCACCCCCCGTCCCGCGGCTGCTGCCTCAGTTTCCCTCCCGCGGGACGGGCTGAGGGAGGCGGCCGGGGCGCGTTCCGCCCGCGGTGTCAGCAGGGCGGGCGAGGGGGGGGATCCGCACCCCCATCCCGACCCCGCTCCCCATCCCCGTCCCCTCACATCGCCCCCCCCGCCGCGCCGCCCCCTCGCCCCCCGCTCCCCCCCCCACCCGGGCCCGGCCAATCGCGGCGCCGCGCACGTGACGAGCGCTCCCCGCGATGACCTCATCCCTCGGTTGTGGGATGACGTCAAATTCAAGATGGATGGAATCACGGCGGCGGCGGCGGCAGCGCGGGCCGAGCCCTGAGAGGAGGCGCCCCGGAGGGGGGCGAGCGGGGAGGGGAGGCGGACAGGGTGAGTAGCGGCCCCGCGTGTCGCGCCCGTCCCGGGGGGCTGCCCGCGCGGCGCGGGTCTCCCCGGCGCACAAATCCGTCTTTTCCTGACGTAACTCTGAGGTGGTTTTTTTTTTTTTTTTTTCCCTCTAACCTCCTTCCCCCCCCCCCTCCTTCCTCCTCCTCCGTCGAGCGGGGATGCGGCTCCCGCGCGCATGCGCCGGTTACGAAACTCTTCCCCCCTCCTTCGCCCGGGGCTCGGCGCAGGCGCTCGGAGCGGGCGGGCGGTGCCCCCGCGGCCGCCGCCACATCGCCCGCCCCGCCTGGGGCGGAGGGCGCATG